AAATGGGGTAAAAATGGGGGGAAATGGAGGAAAAATGGGATAAAGGGTCATGGAGACAAAGAAGAGAGGAGGAAGAGAGGAGGAAGAGAGGAAGAAGAAAAAAAGGAAAGAGGAAAAAAAGGGAGAAGACGACAAAGAAGAGAGGAAGAAGAGGAGGAAGAGGAAGAAGAGGAAGGAGAGGAAGGAGAGGAAGGAGAGGAAGAAGAGGAAGAAGAGGAAGAAGAAGAAGGAGGAGAAGGAGAAAGAGAAGGAGGAAGAGCAAGAAGAGGAAGAAGAAGAGAGAGAGAAAGAGAAAGAATAAGAGGAAGAATAGGAAGAAGAAGAAGGAGGAAGAGGAGGAGGATCAGAGGAAGAAGATGAAGAAGAGGAAGAAAAGGAAGAGAGGAAGGAGAGGAGGAAGAGGAAGGAGAGGAAGAAGGGAGGAAGAGGATAAGGAAGAAGAGGATGAAAAGGAAAAGGAGGAAGGAAGGAGAGGAAGAAGAAGAAGAAGAGGAAGAAAGCAAGAAAAGGAAGAGGAAGAAGAGGAAGAAGAGGAAGAAGAGGAAGAAGAGGAAGACGATGAGGAAGAGGAAGAGGCAGAGGAAGAGAGGAAGAAGAGGAAGAAGAGGAAAGAAAAGGAACAAAAGGAAGAAGAGGAAGAAGATGAAGATGATGAGGAAGAGGAAGAGAGGAAGAGGCAGAGGAAGGAGAGGAAGAAGAAGAAAGAGAAGAAAGAAGAGGAAGAAGGAGAGGAAGAAGAAGAAGAGGAAGAAAAGAAGAAAAGGAAGAGGAAGAAGAGGAAGAAGAGGAAGACGATGAGGAAGAGGAAGAGAGGAAGAGGCAGAGGAAGGAGAGGAAGAAGAAGAAAGAGAAGAAGAAAAGGAAGAAGGAGAGGAAGAAGAGGAACAGAGGAAGAAAAGGAAGAGGAAGAAGAGGAAGAAGAGGAAGAAGAGGAAAGAAAAGGAACAAAATGAAGAAGAGGAAGAAGATGAAGAGGAAGAAGAGGAAGAAGAAGAAAGAAAAGGGACAAAAGGAAGAAGAGGAAGAAGATGAAGATGATGAGGAAGAGGAAGAGAGGAAGAGGCAGAGCAAGGACAGGAAGAAGAGGAAGAAGAGGAAAGAAAAGGAACAAAACGAAGAAGAGGAAGACGATGAAGAAGAGGAAGAAGAGGAACAAGAGGAGGAGGGAGGAAGAGGAAGAAGAGGAAGAAGAGGAGGAGGGAGGAAGGCTCACTCGATGATGTGTCGGGCGTCCACCTCCGAGACGTCGTCGCTGTCGGGGTCCGGAATTTTCTTTTTCTCCTCCACGGGCAGGGCGGGCTGGGCCGGCTGGGGCTGCTCCTCCTCCTCCTCCTGGGGAGGAAGAACCAAATCCCAGTGAAAAATTAATCCAGAATTAATTGGGAATGCTGAGATAACGAGGGTGGAGTTAATTAAAAGGGTGTGAGGTCAATAAGATAATTAATTAGATAATGAATTTTCCAATTGTGCCTTCCTCACCTCCTCCTCCTCCTCGGAGCCGCTCTCCTCGCTGTCGGAGCGCGGAGCCACCTCGTACCTGGGGGGAAAATGGGAATTTTCCAGAACGTGGAACCGGCTCTGGAATTCCCAGTGCTCCCAGTGCTCATTCCCAGTGCTCCCAGTACACCTATGGTCCATTCCCAGTGCTCCCAGTATTCCCAGTGCTCATTCCCAGTGCTCCCAGTGCTCATTCCCAGTGCTCCCAGTACACCTATGGTCCATTCCCAGTGCTCCCAGCATACCCAGGGTCCATTCCCAGTGCTCCCAGTACACCTATGGTCCATTCCCAGTATCCCCAGTACTCATTCCCAGTGCTCCCAGTACACCTATGGTCCATTCCCAGTGCTCCCAGTGCTCATTCCCAGTACTCCCAGCATACCCAGGGTCCATTCCCAGTATTCCCAGTGCTCATTCCCAGTGCTCCCAGTACACCTATGGTCCATTCCCAGTGCTCCCAGTGTTCCCAGTGCTCATTCCCAGTACTCCCAGTACACCTATGGTCCATTCCCAGTGTTCATTCCCAGTGCTCCCAGCATACCCAGGGTCCATTCCCAGTACTCCCAGTACACCTATGGTCCATTCCCAGTACTCCCAGTGCTCATTCCCAGTACTCCCAGCATACCCAGGGTTCATTCCCAGTGCTCCCAGTACACCTATGGTCCATTCCCAGTATTCCCAGTATTCCCAGTGCTCATTCCCAGTACTCCCAGTACACCTATGTTCCATTCCCAGTGCTCCCAGTATTCCCAGTGCTCCCAGTTTACCCCGGGTTTATCTCCAGCCACGCCTCCCAGTACTCCCAGTACACCTATGGTCCATTCCCAGTGCTCCCAGTATCCCCAGTGCTCATTCCCAGTGCTCCCAGTATTCCCAGTCCTCATTCCCAGTGCTCCCAGTACCCAGGGTCCATTCCCAGTGCTCCCAGTACACCTATGGTCTATTCCCAGTGCTCCCAGTGCTCTCAGTGCTCATTCCCAGTATTCCCAGTGCTCATTCCCAGTGCTCCCAGCATACCCAGGGTCCATTCCCAGTGCTCCCAGCGCTCATTCCCAGTGTTCATTCCCAGCATTAATTCCCAGTATTCCCAGTTTACCCGGGTTCATCTCCAGCCACGCCTCCCAGTGTTCATTCCCAGTATTCCAAGTGCTCCCAGAGTTCATTCCCAGTACTCCCAGTACACCTATGGTCCATTCCCAGTGCTCATTCCCAGTGCTCATTCCCAGTGCTCCCAGTACACCTATGGTCCATTCCCAGTATTCCCAGTTACCCCGGGTTCATCTCCAGCCACGCCTCCCAGTGCTCCCAGTGCTCATTCCCAGTACTCCCAGTGCTCCCAGTGCTCCCAGTATTCCCAGTATCCCCAGTTTACCCCGGGCTCCTCTCCAGCCAGGCCTCCCAGTACACCTATAGTCCATTCCCAGTATTCCCAGTGATCCCATGGTCCATTCCCATTGCTCATTTACAGTACTCCCAGCATACCCAGGGTCCATTCCCAGTATTCCCAGTGCTCCCAGTATTCCCAGTGCTCATTCCCAGTATTCCCAGTGCTCCCAGTTTACCCCGGGTTCATCTCCAGCCAGGCCTCCCAGTGCTCCCAGTACATCTATGGTCCATTCCCAGTATTCCCAGTGCTCATTCCCAGTGTTAATTCCCAGTGCTCCCAGTACTCCCAGTTTACCCCGAGTTCATCTCCAACCACGCCTCCCAGTGCTCCCAGTATTCCCAGTGCTCCCAGTGCTCATTCCCAGTGTTCATTCCCAGTATTCCCAGTGCTCATTCCCAGTATTCCCAGTATTCCCAGTTTACCCCGGGTTCATCTCCAGCCAGGCCTCCCAGTACTCCCAGTGCTCATTCCCAGTACTCCCAGTACACCTATGGTCCATTCCCAGTATTCCCAGTGCTCATTCCCAGTGTTAATTCCCAGTACTCCCAGTACACCTATGGTCCATTCCCAGTATTCCCAGTGCTCCCAGTATTCCCAGTTTACCCCGGGTTCATCTCCAGCCAGGCCTCCCAGTACACCTATGGTCCATTCCCAGTGCTCCCAGTATTCCCAGTATTCCCAGTATTCCCAGTTTACCCCGGGTTCATCTCCAGCCACGCCTCCCAGTACTCCCAGTGCTCATTCCCAGTACTCCCAGCATACCCAGGGTCCATTCCCAGTGCTCCCAGTGCTCCCAGTATTCCCAGTATCCCCAGTTTACCCCGGGTTCATCTCCAGCCAGGCCTCCCAGTACTCCCAGTACACCTATGGTCCATTCCCAGTGCTCCCAGTGCTCCCATGGTCCATTCCCAATGTTCCCAGTACTCCCAGCATACCCAGGGTCCATTCCCAGTATTCCCAGTATCCCCAGTTTACCCCAGGTTCATCTCCAGCCAGGCCTCCCAGTTCTCCCAGTGCTCATTTCCAGTGCTCCCAGTATTCCCAGTGCTCATTCCCAGTGCTCCCAGTACACCTATGGTCCATTCCCAGTATTCCCAGTGTTCATTCCCAGTGCTCCCAGAATACCCAGGGTCCATTCCCAGTATTCCCAGTGCTCATTCCCAGTGCTCCCAGTGCTCATTCCCAGTACTCCCAGTACACCTATGGTCCATTCCCAGTATTCCCAGTTTACCCCGGGTTCATCTCCAGCCACGCCTCCCAGTGCTCCCNTCCCAGTTTACCCCGGGTTCATCTCCAGCCACGCCTCCCAGTGCTCCCAGTGCTCATTCCCAGTATTCCCAGTGCTCCCAGTTTACCCCGGGTTCATCTCCAGCCACGCCTCCCAGTACTCCCAGCATACCCAGTGTTCATTCCCAGTGCTCCCAGTGCTCCCAGTATTCCCAGTATCCCCAGTTTACCCCGGGTTCATCTCCAGCCACGCCTCCCAGTGCTCCCAGTGCTCATTCCCAGTGCTCCCAGTGCTCATTCCCAGTGCTCATTCCCAGTGCTCCCAGTGCTCATTCCCAGTGCTCATTCCCAGTGCTCATTCCCAGTGCTCCCAGTGCTCCCAGTTTACCCCGGGTTCATCTCCAGCCACGCCTCCCAGTGCTCCCAGTGCTCATTCCCAGTACTCCCAGCATACCCAGGGTCCATTCCCAGTGCTCCCAGTATTCCCAGTATTCCCAGTACTCCCAGTTTACCCCGGGTTCATCTCCAGCCACGCCTCCCAGTGCTCCCAGTGCTCATTCCCAGGGCTCATTCCCAGTGCTCTCAGTACACCTATGGTCCATTCCCAGTGCTCCCAGTGTTCATTCCCAGTATTCCCAGTGCTCATTCCCAGTGCTCCCAGCATACCCAGTGTTCATTCCCAGTGCTCCCAGTATCCCCAGTATTCCCAGTGCTCCCATGGTCCATTCCCATTGCTCATTCCCAGTACTCCCAGCATACCCAGGGTCCATTCCCAGTATTCCCAGTATCCCCAGTTTACCCCGGGTTCATCTCCAGCCAGGCCTCCCAGTGCTCCCAGTACACCTATGGTCCATTCCCAGTATTCCCAGTGCTC